GGCACCCCATCCAGGGCCTGGTGTGGTGTGGGGCTCGTGGCACCCCATCCAGGGCCTGGTGTGGTGTGGGGCTCGTGGCACCCCATCCAGGGCCTGGTGTGGTGTGGGGCTCGTGGCACCCCATCCAGGGCCTGGTGTGGTGTGGGGCTCGTGGCACCCCATCCAGGGCCTGGTGTGGTGTGGGGCTCGTGGCACCCCATCCAGGGCCTGGTGTGGTGTGGGGCTCGTGGCACCCCATCCAGGGCCTGGTGTGGTGTGGGGCTCGTGGCACCCCATCCAGGGCCTAGTGTGGGGCTCGTGGTACCCCATCTGGAGCTCAGTGCAGCGTGGGGTGCACCAGAGCCTGATGTGGGGCTCATGGCACCGTGTCCATTGCTGGAGCCCAGCGTGAGGTTCACCAGAGCCCAGCGTGGGGCTCATCGCATCACATCCTTTCTGGGGGATCGAAGCATGTTCTGGTGCAGAATAGAGGTCACTCTGGAAATGAGCTGTGCGTGGCTGCCGGCAGAGGTGACGCTCAGGTGGGGGAAACCCTGGCAACTACAGAAATGAAATTTTAAAAACTTCCCTTGACCTGCTGGCATCTGAGCTGCCTGAGAGGAGGAGGCAGAGGAGCAGCCCCGGGGTGGCGCGGCCACCGCAGGCAGTGCCAGCAGCCTCTGTGCAATGGTGGCATCTAGTGGCTGCTGTGGCCCTCTGTCCCCTGGGACACGGGCAGCCAGGGCTGAGCCACAGGGTGTAGCTGGGCCCTGGAAAGCCAGCTGAGCTCCTCAGAGTCTTTATCAGCTGTATCACACCTCGAGTATTGTGTCCAGTTTTGGGCACCTCAATCCAAGAGAGATCTCGAGGTGCTGGAGCGAGTGCAGAGGAGGGCAACGAAGCTGGTGAGGGGCCTAGAAGACAAATCATATGAAGAGTGGCTGAAGGAGCTGGGGCTGTTTAGTATGAGGAAGAGGAGGCTGAGGGGAGACCTCATCACTCTCTACAACTACTTGAAAGGACACTGTAGAGAGGTTGGTGCTGGTCTCTTCTCACAGGTAATTAGTGACAGAACGAGAGGGAACGGCTTCAAGCTCCAACAGGGGAGGTTTAGATTGAACATTAGGAAGGAATTTTTCACTGAAAGAGTGGTCGGGCATTGGAACAGGCTGCCCAGGGAGGGGGTGGAGTCCCCATCCCTGGCTGTGTTTAAGGGCCGTTTAGATGCAGTGCTGAGGGACATGGTGTAGGGGAGGACTTTGTAGAGTAGGGGAGATGGTTGGACTCGATGATCCCAAGGGTCTCTTCCAACCTCAATGATTCTATGATTCTATGAATGGAGGGAGTGTGTACTGCGGGGTGATACTGGGACCAAAATAGCAAGGTGTCAGCCGTGAGGTGGCCAGTACTGGTGGTAACCACTGTGGCGAGTCCCCCTGTTTTAAGGGCATCTGTGATTGATGCAAGTTTTCCAGCAGTGGTGAGCCATGGCCATAAGGTGTTGCGTGCAAGCCTGAAAGGGAGTCCCTTTGGGCTGTCCCGAGGCACTGGGTGTTTATGGAAGAGGCAACCTGGAATTTTGTGCAAAATGTTGCAGTTGTGCACTCTTTGTCCTTGTCAGTGAGCTTGTAGGTGGGGTTCTTGCTCAAAAACCTTTTGTACCTTTAGCCCCTAGTCCTAATCGGGGTGTGTGCAAGTTAAAAAGTGCCAAATTTTAGTCCAACCCATATGACCAGATGTTGCCTGAACACTGACTGGAGCCTGGATTAAAAAAGTCAAAACAGCTCTGCTTTTCTCTCAAGCGTATGTGAATTCCTCAGGGAGGTTCCGTGGCAGTACCACGGGAGTGTAATCATAGAATCACAGACTGGTTTGGGTTGGAAGGGACCATAAAGCCCACCCAGTGCCACCCCCTGCCCTGGGCAGGGACACCTCCCACCACACCACGTTGCTCCAAGCCCCCTCCAACCTGCCCTTGAACCCCTCCAGGGATGGGGCAGCCACAGCTTCTCGGGCCAACCTGGGCCAGGCTCTCACCACCCTCACACCAAACAAGTTCTTCCCCACAGCTCAGCTCCATCTCCCCTCTTGCAGGGTCCAACCCTTCCCCCTCCTCCTATGGCTCCCCTCCCTCATCCAGAGTCCCTCCCCAGCTTTCCTGGAGCCCCCCTTCTTTAGGGACTGGAAGGGGCTCCAAGGTCTCCCCGGAGCCTTCTCTTCTCCAGGCTGAACCCCCCCAACTCTCTCAGCCCCCCCTCCCAGCAGAGGGGCTCCAGCCCTCCCAGCATCTCCGGGGCCTCCTCTGGCCCCGCTCCAACAGCTCCATGTCCTTCTGCTGTTGGTGGCCCCAGAGCTGGAGGCAGCACTGGGGGGGGTCTCCCCAGAGCGGAGCAGAGGGGCAGAATCCCCCCCTGGCCCTGCTGGCCACGCTGCTGGGGATGCAGCCCAGGGTGGGGGGGGGGTTCTGGGCTGCAATTCTGCAATGCTCCGAAAGGTCTTTCCCCTTCACCTCTAGCTCTCTGTTGCCGAGGAGAGAAGTTCTTCCCAAAGTCCTGGACTGCCCAGAGGCAGCAGATCCTGTTGACTGGCAACTGTCTGGAAACATGAAGAGATAGATTTGGGACTTCCCTTTCTCCGTTCAGCATTTGACATCCAGCGTGGTGGGCAGGAGGTGCCTGGGGAGTCTCCCAGAGCTGCTCCAGCCTGGTGAGCTCTCTGAATTCCCCGCAGAAGCGATGGCCATCCCTTGCCTGTCCCCTGGGAAGGGACATCTGCAGGGGCGAGCAGAACCGTGCACCTCGTGCTTCCCTCCCTCCACCTTGCATACCTTCTCTTCTAACTGCGGACATCCCTGTGAAGTACATCTCCTTGGCCTCCTTATGTTCCCTGAGCATCTTTGGAGCAAGAACCAGTTGCAGCAGAAGCTCAGGAAGTTTTCCCGTGCTGTTTTCTGCTGGTTGTCCACTTTGCTCATGGCCATCTTGTTCTGCCCAGAGACCAATGTTGCTCTGGTGTCTGTGGTGTCATTTCAGATGGACATGGAGGGAACGGGCATTTAAAACATTGCTCTGGTGACTGAGTCATGTATATTGCTATGGGCAACCCGTGGTCCCCGTGTTGGAGATGTGGGCTGGGCAGTTCCTGAGTGTGGAACCTAACGAAGGCATTGCTGGGTTTGTGTGTTTGGCATTTCCATTAATGAGGTTTTTTTCTCTCTCACTTAAAAACTGGTAGCCAAGCGATTCGTTTCACCCTCGACAGTGGCATTTTGGGAAGCACGTGGCCTCTGTGCCCTGAAAAGAGTCTTTATTCCCCCTCCTCGGTGCTTTCATGCTCCATCCGTCTGCCTGGGCATGGAGGGTGCTGAGGATTTACTGCTTGTGGGGAACTCTTGTGCCTAATGAGGAATGGGGCAGCTCTGCGTGGAGCAGAGTCTCTGGAGATTTTTCATCTGAAACAGGGCAGTGGGCTTAATTAGCCCCTTCCCTAATGGCCCGTCAGCCTGTGCCAGGGATGATCTGGGCTCGGGAGCTGGAGGGAGATGTCTGGGTGCTGCCTCCCGACTCGCTCCCACTGCTGCTCGCCTTCCCTGGGGACGGGGGAGATTTAGATCCGCCTGAAAATAAATACAGATCATTCACTTGTCTCTGGAGGAAGATAAAATGTAAACTGTCTATTTTCTGTGATAAAGCACTGGAAATAGTCGGAATTTAAGATAATTATCTTTATTGCTTTTTATAGCACCCTGTGAAGGCTGAAATCTAATTTGTTTTTCACTAACAGGGAGCTCCTGCTGATGACTCAGAAAAATCCATTTGCTTTATTGACAAACTTGTCTGTTTGGTTATCGGGGCAGTGTTCTCCTTGCAGGAGAAAGGAAATACAGGTTGTAACACACCAGTGGGTTTTTTAATGCAGATTCAGAGTTTGATATTTATTGGCAAGAGGGGAAAAAATAAAGTTGATCTAACCGGAGTGAAGCGACTCTGCTTTAATAAAGACGATTGTAAATTAGTTTATGCTTTAGTGGGCGTGCAGTAACGGTGCACGGGGCTTTGTTTAAGCAACTTCAAGTGCTCGAAGCTTATTAACAGGAGTTTGTGGAGAATCTGTTTTTCCTGGGCACCTGATGCCCCTTGGCCGTTGGGACCTGGGTTTTGGGGAAGGAGGTGGGAGGTTCGCTCCTGCCTCTTCCCTCCTGTGCCCGGGGCCTTGGGAGCAGTGTGTTGGGCTCCGTTTGGACTTGTTGCTTGAAAGTGGAGTTGCCCCTTTTTTAAACTATTTCTCTGGCTGCGAGACAGGCTGCCAGTTCCAAACAAACTCCTTGTGTGTCTGAAGATGTGGAGCATCCTTTTTTGCAAATGAGTCACTGGTCAGCCTGACGTTGTGGTTTTGAGGGTCTCCTGGTGTTGTGGTTTTGAGGGTCTCCTGGTGTTGTGGCTCTGCAAAAAGCAGTTGTCTGTCCTGTGCTCTTGGCTGTAGTGGGGGGAGTCCTTTTTGCTTTATCCACCCCTATATGATACGCACCTCAGAGCTGCTCAGGAGAAGAAAGCGGATTCTCTGGATGGGCTTTCAGCATCACCCGCCTCCCAAAGTGTCCTTTGACTTTCTCAGAAGTGATGTGTGTTGAGATAGAATGGGTCTGCAGAGTCGCTTCTCAATAGTTCAGCCCTGGCTCGACCCCCCAGAAGTCTATAATTTAACACTGTCCCTTGGGATGATGCTACAAATCACTGCATCTCCTACAGCTCCGGTTCTAACAGGTTTTCTCCAGCAGTGAAGAGGCAATCTAGGGGCTGACTGTATTTATAGGGAGGAGGGATAGAGCTCCACAAGAGTCTGCTTCGCCTTGAAACAGAGATCTATTTCTATCAATCTCTGTCGCCCTCCACAAACATCCAATACAGTAAGGGGGAGAAAACACCACTTTCTGTAAACATGAGATGATAGATCTAGTGGATAGAGCACATTTCTTGTCTGTGTCTGAAGACCTGCTCAGCTTTTTATTGGTTTCTTTTCAGGAATTGACTACAAGACCACTACTATCTTGTTGGATGGCAGAAGGGTCAAGCTGGAACTCTGGTGAGTGTTTCTGGGCTGCGAGCACAGGACCGGTGAGCGGGGCCGTGGTGCTGATGGGGGGATGCTGTGCCACAAACACCATGCTGTTCTGCACTGGAATAGTCCCTTGTTGGTCTTACTCCATCATCCCTGACCGTACAGCTCTCAATCGCCGAGGGAACAATGCTACTTTGGAAGCAGTACTGGATTTTCCTTAAATCCTAGGGTGGGAAATATAGACGAGAATAGGAAAGGAGGAGAAAAAATGGGTAAAGCCCTTAGTCCGTACAGAAGCTTGGATATTTCTCAATGACCTGAGTAGAGAATTAAAACAAGAGCGGTGACCAGAACTCATGGTTGGTGTCAGACTGTGGTAAAGCCCTGGAGAGCAGGACTTACTGGAGTGACCTGACGCTGGGATGGAGATGGGAGGATGCTGTATGGGAGGGGTGACCCCAGCCTTATCTGTCAGCACCTGAGGGGCACCTGGAGTCCTTCTGGCCTGGTTTTGTCTGGGGTTTTGACCTGCTGGGAAGCTGACACTGCAATCCTGTAGATGAAACAGGACGGATAGGCAGCGTGCCTGGGTTCCCTGGTCTGGGTTCCACCCAGATCTCGTGGGGAATGAAACAGGCCCTGAAACGTGACGTTAAATAACCCCTTTACTAACGCTTATATCAAGTAACAGGAACATTAGTATTCTGTGTGAATTGTTAAAGAGGAATGAACACCATGTTCTCGGCCTCGGTGACTGACTCTAGCAGCGTATAGTTTCGTGGTTTAATTATACCCCTGCTTTCTGAAGCTGAATGTCCTCATTTTTCTTACAAAAGAACAGAAGCAGCTAATTTCTCCCTTCCAGCTTGTATGTTTATATGTGCTGCTTATATTCTTTTGTCTCTCTTGTAAAATGTCTGTTTTAACAATTCAACCCCAAATGTGTAGTTACTTAGTGCTTCCCTCTTGAAACCCTCTTCTTTTTAAACTGTAATCTCGAGCTGGAGAACCAGCACAGAACCTGAAAAGCTGGTAGCATCCATTTATGATGCCTTAGTGTAATCTTTTACTATTATTTTCCTCATGCAAGCCAATATTTGATTGTTGGGGGGAAAGGAGACTTAGGCACAAACTGTTAGGTTGATGTCCAGGACCAATGATATGATGCTTAAAAACTTTAGATTTGAAAGAATGACCATCCTAAACTTGAGGTGACTGTAGCTGGTGCAAATCTGTGGCTGAGGGTTTCATCAGGCTTCTCAGTGGTCATTAATGTTTCTCTTATCCTGGCCCAGTGAATAGACACGACAAACATCACAACATGTCTCTGATTATGGAATCACAGAATTGTCAGAGTTGGAAGGGACCTTCTAGAGACCATCCAGTCCAAGTCTCCTGCCAAAGCAGGGTTGCCCAGAGCACGTCACTCAGGAGCATCCAGGTGGGGCTTGAAGATCTCCAGAGAAGGGGACTCCACACCCTCCCTGGGCAGCCTCTGCCAGGGCTCTGCCACCCTCACCCCAAAGAAGTTCTTCCTCAGATTGGAGTGGAACTTCCCATGGTCCAGCTTGTGCCCGTTGCCCCTCGTCCTGTCACTGGAAACCACTGAGAAGAGTCCGCCTCCATCCTCCCTCAAAAGACCCTTTAGATCCTTGGAAGCATCAATAAGGTCTCCCCTCAGCCTTCTCTTCTCCAGGCTAAAGAGTCTCAGCTTTTCCTCAGCAGGGAGATGCTCCAATCCCTCCATCATCTCTGTTGCCCTACGCTGGACTCTCTCCAGCAGTTCCCTGTCTCTCTTGAACTGGGGAGCCCAGAACTGGACGCAGGATTCCAGTTGTGGCCTCCCCAGTGCAGAGTTTACCCTGACACATTTCAGTATGTACTGGTTAAATCGGTGTTACAGCTGGGCTTGCTGTCCCAGGTGTTCCTGTGGGCACTGAGAGGTGGTGGTGATGCAGTCAGACTTATTCACACCATTTCAGGAGCAGCCAAGACAAATGATAGTGACTGAATAGCCCCTTGTTGTGGCAGTGGGCTAGAAACGCTCTTCCCTCATCCTCTTCATGCACTCTCTACAGGGTATGATCAACAAGGTCTGTCAGACATCTGGGTATACAGATATTTCCTTTAATTTTTGACTAAAACGTGTTTGGAAAAATAAGTGAAGCTAGACAGTGCAAGACAATTTCTCTTCTCTTGAGTGGTTTTGTTCATTTTATGGTAGGTCTTCTTCATGACTAGGAGAGGTCTGCAGTCTCGCTTTGACTTTGAACTCCTGTGGACTGCAGGGAACCAGAGAGAAAATCCTTTGCCCAAGGCAGTAAAATGACTTACATCCTTGTAGCTCACAAGGTAGAGCTGGAACCGAGTGGTTTTGGTTTGTAGCTTCTCCATGGGAAGCACGACAACGGCAAGGACCTCTGGACCCCTGACTGTAATCAAAGGTGGTGACGCACCCACTGGTTCTTCCTAAAAACACCGTGCAGAGCAGTTTGGGTACCATCCATGTTCTAAAGGTGTGACCAGATCAACACTGATTTATTGGGTTTTTAACCCAATAGGAGATATGCAGTATGGGATTCTATTCTCCAAATTTCACAGCTGTAACTTTACTTCCCTTTGTTGCAGGGACACATCAGGACAAGGAAGATTTTGCACTATTTTCAGATCCTACTCCAGAGGAGCCCAGGTAAGTGCAGCTCTCGGTGCATCAATGGGGCACACGTGCTTTTCCTTTAGGCTGTAAAAATCTTTCAGGCCGTATTAAAGAGCTCTGAAGAGCAACTCATCAAGCATGGAAAGGATGGGAAAGACTAAGAGGCACTGCATGTTGTCTTGCTGCCTGGTTTTGTGGTTTTATGGAATGGTGGGAGAGAGAGGAATGACAGACTTTCCCAGACTCCTGCAGAAGAGGTCAGATACAGATGATACTCAGTATTAGCTCCTAGAGAAGGGCTGAGAAGATGGGGTTTTAGAGGACAAGGCAATTCAAGCTCTGAATCTGCCTTAGCTTTAATGTGGGAGCTTGTACTTTCTGAGGTTTGTCAAATTTGTTTAAATATGACATTGGCTTTCCCAATGGAGTCCTTCCAGTCTGTATTGCCTTCAAGGCAGTTCCAAAAATAGGGTGGCTCCTACTTGCATGTTTGATGCAGACTTGAAACTGGAGCAGCTCAAGTGGATTGTGAAGTACGTTCCTTAAAACATGAGGCAGAGCGTTACAGTTTGAGTTTCTCCTTTGGGCCCTTCTCCAGAATAGCATCTAGATGCTGAACAGCGGAAAAATCTTTTGGTGCTCTGAAAAACTGCTGTTAGTTAATACGGCTTTCTTACAGTTTTATTGTCCTTTTGGTTAGGTGACAGGGTCCTTCCAGGATGAAGTCTCCCTAAGCTAGATGAAATACAGTATTTTCCCGTTGCAAATCGGAAAACTTTGGAGAAAATTCCTCCTCTCTTAGACACTAGGAGTTGGAAGTTTTATATCAGCCTCCTGAGTGCCAGCATCCTGGCAGCCTCCCAGCCTTTGGGAAACTTTGCTGCTTTTATTCAAGCTCTTGCTACTGTTGCTCTTGGCTTTGTGTTCCTTGTAGTTCCAGACTCTTGCTTTGCTGGCAAAATCCGTCACATTCGCTTTCCCTAAGACTTCCTTCAAATTCTCTTGTGCTGGAGATGGTAGAGCACTTCACCTGGGATGTGCTGTTGATACCTCCTCTGATGTCTCGTTTATTCTTGTTTGTGCACATCCCCGGGGTTGTGGATGCTTTGAGGCAGTTCCTTTGAAGCGGAGGCCAATTTCCAGGTGCTTGCAGAAGTGCAAGGCAAGGGGTGTTGGAGCGTGGCTCCTGCAGTGGGAGAGGATGGGATCCCCCGTTCAGGTCCTCAATCCCATGTGTGAGTTGGTCTTTAAGCTTCCCTCTGTCCTTATTACATTTCAGATATATCGTTTGAGAGCTTTTGCCTCTGTCTGCAGCATGACCTGCTGTTCAAAAGGCTTTCCTCACTTTGTGTAGACTCTGAGCTCCTCAGAGCAACTGCTGGGCCTCCACAAGCCTGCACCCAGCAAACCCTTCACCCACACGCCAGAGCTTGTAGACGGTGTCACCATCCATCCATAAGTAGTGATGAGAATATTTTAATGGAGAGATGAGTACACATCTCTCTAGAAACCACAACAGAGCTGTCAGGCACTGACACAGCTCATCCTTTGGGCTCCTGCAGCCTCTTCTCCCTCAATGCTATGTTTGACACTGGATGCCATAGGGTGGTGCGTATCCAGCTGACCTTAAGTTTGAAACTGAAGATTCCTTTCATAGAATCACAGAATGGTTTGGTTGAAAGGGACCTGAAAGCCCATCCAGTCCCACCTGGGCACCTCCCACCACACCACGTTGCTCCAAGCCCCCTCCAACCTGCCCTTGAACCCCTCCAGGGATGGGGCAGCCACAGCTTCTCGGGCCAACCTGGGCCAGGCTCTCACCACCCTCACACCAAACAAGTTCTTCCCCACAGCTCAGCTCCATCTCCCCTCTTGCAGGGTCAAACCCTTCCCCCTCCTCCTAGGGCTCCCCTCCCTCATCCAGAGTCCCTCCCCAGCTTTCCTGGAGCCCCCCTTCTTTAGGGACTGGAAGGGGCTGGAAGGTCTCCCCGGAGCCTTCTCTTCTCCAGGCTGAACCCCCCAACTCTCTCAGCCCCCCCTCCCAGCAGAGGGGCTCCAGCCCTCCCAGCATCTCCGTGGTCTCCTCTGGGCCGTTCCAACAGCTCCATGTCATCTTCTTTTTTCAAAATGAAGTTCTTGACCTTCCAAGACTTGCCTTGTCTGTCTTATCTGCTCACCCCTCCCAGGGAGTCTGGCTGTTTGCAATAAACCTCATCAGCCAGGCAGTGGGATCTTTAATGTGACTTTAATTGCTGAATGTTGGGGTATGGAGCTTACACAGCAAGGTGTGGCCTTTTCCTCAAGGCCTCCATTCTGCTTGTGCAACAAATGCCTCTTCCAAAGTACTGCTGTGATCCCTTAATCCTGATCTGCCAAAATAGTCAACCCTTACCCTTAAAAACAACAAACCACCCTAAACATCAAGCCTGCCCAGTAGGAGAAGGAGCGGTTCCCAGTGAAGTATCTCCACTGCCCTCTGAAGCACTTATGAGAAGAGCATGGTGGACAGTGGATGCCTCTTGATGTCTAATAGAATCATAGAATCGTCTAGGTTGGAAGAGACCCTTGGGATCATCGAGTCCAACCATCAACCCTACTCTACAAAGTCCTCCCCTACACCATGTCCCTCAGCACTGCATCTAAACGGCCCTTAAACACAGCCAGGGACGGTGACTCCACCCCCTCCCTGGGCAGCCTGTTCCAACGCCCGACCACTCTTTGGGTGAAAAATTCCTTCCTAATGTTCAATCTAAACCTCCCCTGTTGGAGCTTGAAGCCGTTCCCTCTCGTCCTGTCACTAATTACCTGTGAGAAGAGACCAGCCCCAACCTCTCTACAGTGTCCTTTCAAGTAGTTGTAGAGAGTGATGAGGTCTCCCCTCAGCCTCCTCTTCCTCATACTAAACAGCCCCAGCTGCCCAGACCCCTTGTACGATCTTCTCCAGGTGGCTTGGAGAAGCACTTGGATTGGTTTCAGCACCAGGGGATTGTTCCCATGTGGCGATACAGCGATTCCTGCGTTAGCAGGAGCGCAGATGTCATCTCTCTTAAATAACTTGCATCTTTCAATGGAAGAGGAAAGTATCTTCATTTAAACTCTTAATGGTTAACCAAAGCAAGAGGACAGCTTGTTTTGAATAATAAATGCCTGTGTGACTGCAAGAACGGACTTCAACACCTCTGGTATTTTCAGTATGCAGAAGGTGACTTCTTCTGGCATAGCGTTAGCATAAAGACAACTCAACCCAGCGCCGTCTCAGAGGAATAGAGATAAATTGCTCCCAAGTTCTCTTATTTCTTCGAGATGTATTTAGTGCTGTGTGCTGTACTGACTGCTTCAGCTGTCTGCTTTCCCCTGCTGTCTTCCTATCATCAGCCTTAAAGACTGCTGCTGTAGGAAGCCTGATGCAAATCCAGTCGGAGGCAAGAGAAACAGCTTTTTTAACCTAACGAGCCAAAAGCTCGGGAAGAATAAATACAGCAGAGAAGAGAGAGACGGCAGGGTGAGAAGCTCTGTTTAAAGTGCAGTGTGATATTTGTACAAAGGCAAGGATTGAGACTCTGAACCGAGCTTCTCATAAGGAGCACGAGGGGAGCTTGGATGAGTTTCCGAGGAGGACTTTGATGGGTTTGCTGGGAGAGAAGGAGGCCTGGCATCCCTTGCAGGGGTGACAGAGAAGAGGGTGAGTCCCTCTGAACAGCCACTGCTTGGGAGAATACTTGGTATGAAAAGTGCCTTCAGGTAAGGGACACGCACCTGACTTCCCCTCACACCGTACTGTCGCTCAGGTGTAGTCATAAGAATTGAATCTTCTGAAGTAAACCCTGGAGAGGCTGCAAAGTGGGGAAAAAAGTCCCCAAACTGGGAGCAGACCTTCTGGGGAGTTTTCCTTGCCCCTGGAGCACAGCCTTCTGCTTTGCTCAGGCTGGACTAGTCTGTCTCTGGTGAGAGGACTCTCCTTCAGCCACCTCCATCCCTTCCCCAATTTAGACTCCACGCCACTTGCTTGGGTATATAGCCACGTGGCTTTCATGTTCAGCAGGAACATCTTCCTCTTCAAAACATCTAAAGCAAAATAGCTTTGCTGCCCTTGATGAGCAAATGAGGACCAGTCTCTTCTTTCAGCCAAGGTGGACCTGCCATGTTTGCCTCGGCTTTTGCTGCGGGGATCACAGATCTGTCCTGCCTCCCCTCCCTGCCCTCCCTGGCTAATCTGATCTCGTTAGGGAGGTAATGAGCTGTTTGGCTCAGGGTGGAGGTTTGTGGCATACTGGTGTCCTTGGGACCCCCCTCTATTTCTCTTCTCACTTCTCTGGGGTTTGAGTTTCTGCTTTTTTATCCCGGCTGCTTTCATCATCCCTTCCCTCTTAGGGTCTGCTGGGCCAGCAGGTCCTGACCTCAGCACTTCAGAGCCTGGCTTTGGGGCAAAAGAGGAGCAATCGTGTCTGGGACAGCAGAGCATTGCCCTTTAGGCACTAGTGGGGAAGGGAGAGCGTGCAGGCTGCCTCCTGCTGACTGCAGGGCCAGGGGAGGGTGGAGGTGGAAGCCCAGCCGTGCTGTGACCCACAGAACAAACCTGGGGAGTCTGGAGCTTGCTGTGCTGCGGGAGGATTTTTATATTAATTGTCATCGCATAGTGTGTGGTGAAAGGAATTTAGTGATGCTTGAAGGTGCTTCAGAAATCTTTCCTTTTGCCCATGAACTTCTGCTCTTTGACTTTTTCTGCTTGGTTAGAAGGTCTGAGTCGTGCTGACGGCAGAGCTGGCACGCTCCTCTCAGCCCTTGTGTGCAGCTGGGGCTCTGCTGGCTGCTGTGAGCAAGTGCCAGCGATTCCAAGAGCCATCACGGAGGGGAGAAAGAGGGTTGTGGTGGTGCTTTCTGATCTAGCAAGGAAGAAGCAGTGCCAGTATCATTCCTGATGTCCTCGTGTGCCAGTGAGTTAATGTTTCTGGAAGCACAGCTTGCCAGCTCTTCCCAGACGGTGTGACACAGAAGGTCCCTTCATGAATAGCTTCAGACCATCTACAGGAAGC